TGCAAGTAATGAATGAAGATAACAAAGGTTAAGCAGATAACTTAATTTCAGATTTGATGGCACATGCCTAGTAAATTCTGATTTGTATGCCAAGCATCCAGGATAACAGGTAAACAAATACGGGGAAATAATAAGTGCTCGGGAATATCTTATGGTTTGGGTCCGGGAATTTTGGGTACGGTGGTGGTTTTTTTTGCCTGGATTGCGTCAAAAGAAGCAAGTGGATTGGTGATTAGTTGATTGATGATTGGCAAGATACGTCAAAGGTGTGCACATCGCAAATAAATAGTAAAAACACGACAGACTATAGTCCTTGGGCGTTCCTTCCTTTATTCAGTAAGGTGGTTTAATATAATCTCGGATGATTCTACAAACAGAACATTTATTATCATCGATTATTAGATCGATTTTTTTTTTTTTTTCTTTTCTTTTTTCTTTTTTCTTTTTTCCTATCATACGTATTACGTATATCATTTTTGATGGATTGCGGCACGTGAGGCACGTGTATCGAAATCACGATCGCAAATTTTGTGTAAAATTGAATTTTTATTCACGCATAATTTTAATATAAATAAAAATAGTTAACGCGCGTACACAAAATATACGAAAAATTATGCGTATTCGCTTCACACCATCTCATTCACGCATCCATTTTATTCACAATACACCCAATCTATCATCATCATCATCTATCACGCCTGGTCAAGTTAGTAGTAGCAATCTCTTTATTTTAAGGAAGGGTCGGACGTGTGTCATTTTCATTTCCTCCAGTGAATGTGTGCACAACCGATGATTTCTGTTTGGCAAATCTTTGGTGATGAGACGAAGATCCATGTTAGCGTTTTAAATCAGAACTTTCGAAAAAGAAATTTCGTTCAAGCAAACAATCTCCTTTGTACCAAGTTTTCTCTTCCAGGTAATATTCTTAAATTCTCAGAATTCATGCTACCTCTTATTTATTTATTTACGTCTCATTTCTCATTTGTTCAACATAATCATCCACGAAACAAACCGGTCTAACCGAGATCGTAAATGATCCGAAAAAAAAATTTTATTGTCATGGGGATAAAACCAAAAAGAAAAGTGGAGGTTACAGTATACACTATATACTGTGTATACAGTATATATTTCCAAATATTAAGAGTTCATGTCCAACACAAACGCGAGTGAGGTAGGTCCAGGTCCTTGTGTAAGAAAAGTTCGGACCGAGAATTCGATCGTGATTGGTGTGGGTATGTGTGGATTTTTTTTTTTTCTCGGATCTGATACCATTGTCTTTTCTTGATTGCCAACTTGTTCCAAGGTAAAAAGTGTTATGATGTTATTCAACATCGCCAACGCTTCTGGTTCTAATTTTCTCTGTTTGTTTGGATCACTGGTGTGCATGTTCTTTTGATTTTCTTTTTATTTTAGGGAAAAATGGTTTAGCTGCCAAATGAGTTCTGAATGCTAGTCGAAATAATAA